GAAATTTATTCATGAGAATTAGGTAATTAAAATTAAACCATATTATGAAAATAAATCAATTATTCTAGCAGTGGATTTTTAAATTAAATTATACTTAAGTTTATAAATAATTAACCTTACCGTCCACATCCTTCTGTTCCTCCCATTTGCTGTAATCTCCATCAGTTTGAAAGACAATTGTTGTAACAATACCATCGGTTGACGGCTCTTCCTTATTAAATCTATTATTGAAATTTGCAATGTCATAATAAATATAAAGATAATTGAGTCAATTACAGGATCTATAATTGAATACAGGAAAGTTATTATTTACTTTTTAATATCGGGGAATAGTTTTTCTCATTCGAACTTATTTTAAAGTTATTAAAAATTAATTGCAAATTCACAAGTGCAGAATATAGATATAGAATTAAATGTTTAATTTAATTATATCTCATAACAGGCAATCTGTCGTTCGTAGACATACACTTATGATGTCATCATCGGTGTCAAGCATATATATTTATACAGTAGGGCCTAAGACATGTCACACATCAGCTGTCATATAGAAATTGAAACATAGTACAGAGAACAGTACTACCAAGAACCTGGATAAGAGGGTACAGTACTATTGCTATACGGACTATCTGTGTGCAAATCTACATGTGAGAAATGATGTTTGCCCTGGCAAAATATTTCGAAACGATCACGATAAAAATTGGAAATGTACTCTAAAAACAAATTTAGGATTTAAAAAATACATATATACGCGGAACTCGAAGCGAAGCATTTATAAAGATAACCGTAGTCAATCGGTGGGAAAAATAAGTTTGACTATATTTAGGCTGGCAGTCAAATTTTAAGAGGTTGTAAAAATTGCGGGACGTACTGGGGGGCATTTATGTGACGGATTGATGATTTTTGCCTAGTATTCCACAATGAGCATTGTATTGACGAATTAAAATAACAGCAACCAATAATAATATAATTATCATCAAAAACTCAGAAACAATTTTTTTTTGTTTGAAAAATAGACACTTTGAAATTCTATGTCTTCTGAAAAATAAAGTGACTGCAGTGTTTTTAGTATCGGCCTATTAAATATTTATCTTTTACGTTATTCCTCCCACGCGAGTTTAAAATTAATTATCTTCGAAATTTTTAATTCCAAATAGATTATGGATTAACCTCCATCCGGATAATTATTTCATTATATCAATTAATTTTGTTTTGTTTAAATTAAGTTTAAAAAAAATATTTTAATGATTTTTAAACGTTTGATATTGATTTATTATTATTATTATTATTATTATTATTATTATTATTAATAATAATAATAGGCATAATAATAATAATAATGATAATAATAATAATAATTATTATTATTATTATTATTATTATTAATAATAATAATAATAATAATAATTATTATTATTATTATTATTATTATTATTATTATTTGGTGCTTTATTGTTATTATAATAATAATAATTATTATTATTATTATTATTATTATTTTATTCCTTTTTTTCTGGCAGCACCACGTAATCTCTTACGATGAAATGACAGTGGTTCCGCTTTTGCTGGTCCCTTTTTGTTATTTGGCTTGCCAAAATGTATTAATATAAAAATAGGCCCTAATTAAATAAAACAATACTGTAATAACAACGAGTTATAATTGTTAACAATCATATGTCCTTGTTGAAAATAAAAATATAATCATAACCATTATATTATTATAATCACTATAATATATAGTGATTACAATGATGATATAATAACAATAATAATTAGATAATAAATACACTGATAATAATAATAATTACAAAAGATAAATAATTAACAAGTTATACATACTTTTCCCGACACAAAAATAACTCGTAGGCCTATTTACTGTTCAACTTGAAATCCAATACAGTACAGTATTTCTATTTTCTCATTCCATGCTTACAATCGACTCGTTGCATAGCAACAAGCTTACTTCAGAAAGTTACAAGTAAACGGACGCGCAGCAGACAAGCGCGTGCACGACAAAAAGCAAAGAATATTGAAAGTTAAATTGCAGTAGAAAACACACGGACTGTACTGCACGTAAAAATATTGAAACCGATTAAAAAGGAAGGCAAGGAAAATAATGATCCATTTAATATAAAAATACAATTTTATGGAATTAATACAAGGCATTTTGTTGTACTTACACTTTTCCCAGCATGGCTTTAACACAAGAGGTTTTCCCGGAACCCTCTTGACCAAGAAACATCAGTCTTGAATTAACAACTGTTATTTCACCGTTTTTAAGTGCATCTTTGAATGCTTTGACGGCATCGGGACCCCTGGCTAAAATCTCTGATGGAGTTGATAGTTCTAATTTATGTACAAACATAACAACAATATTTATATATTTCCTTTTTTAATTATATTTTTTTTATTATTTACGATGAAATAAACCGTTTTACGATAATCAAAATACAATGGAAATAATACATTAGGCCTAATTGTGTAGAATTTCAAATTATAAAAATAAATGTCAAACATAATACAGGTGTATGATAAGTACTGTTTTAAATAGAGTTTGAAGATTTGATTCCACAGATATTTAATATGTCAATCAACGTACTTTCAAGTAATTCTTTTAAATATTGTTTCTTTTCACTTCTCGTGGTTTCTTCGTATACATGACATTCGTTTCTATCATACAAATCAAGAGGCGTCTTTCCCAACTGCAATAACAGACACAAGCACGCGATGATTCATTCCATTGCAAGACAATTAAAAACCAAATAAACAGAAAGCAGTGATATATTTTAGTTAAATACTCAAAGATAATAATAAAAATAATATATCTAACGAACACTCGACAATGTTATCATCACGACATTATAATTATGTTGTAAATTACCATCCAATTAATATATAATAAACATTATTAAACTCATAATTCTAATTTTTTTTTTAAATCAACATTATTACCCGTATGGTTTTTTTGTTTTCGGTTTAATTTTGTTTGAATTTATATTTATTATGTAGGTTTTAATTAGTAAAAATGTTTCAAGTAGTTTCATATACAGTTGTTGTATTAAGGTCATTGACTGATATTCTTTTGATGCATTTCATTTTTCTGTATATTACCACATCTTTTATTGTCACCGACGCGCCAAAGGTGATATTGAGAATTGCGACTTCCTTGTGTTGCTCGTGCGTCAGCTCCTTATTCCGTAGACAACAATGTAGTGGTGTGCGTCTAGCCTGCAATGAAATGATAATCAACGTCAAGTTTGTTGAACACGCACAACACAAGAATATCAATTAACAAATATTACGCAAACGTAAAAGTACCTGAAATAATTTATAACTACCATAATTCATTAACGCCTACCGTAATAATAGTGATACTTCAGTAATATTATAATAATCATAATAATAATATTGATGATAATAATAATAATTTTGATAATAATTATTATTCATATTGTTAATGGTAATTAAAAAAAACCCAATAATATGGAGTAGGTACATTAATTAATGATGATGGTAATAAGTATTATGAAATTAATAATTATAGGATAATACAGCACCTGTACTGTATTAATATTAATGGTAATAATATTGACAAAAATGTAGTAATGGATTGTGGTTTATTTTTGTTGTAGTATTAATAAAACAAATAATAATGGTCAAGGAAAATATTTCTCAACCAAATCACATCACTACGGAAGCTTAAAGTGACCTTCCGCGTTTCCGAGTTTCCAAGATAATTATCATGGAAACATGGAATAAATACTTAGTAAGACGTCTTTCCGAGATAATTTATCTCGGAAAGACGGATTTCCGAGATAATTTATCTTGGAAAGAGTAAATTCCAAGATAATTTATCTTGGAAAGACGGAATTCCAAGATAATTTATCTTGGAAAGACGGAATTCCAAGATAATGTATCTTGGAAAGACGTCTTTCCAAGATAATTTATCTTGGAATTCCGTCTTTCCAGTATAATTTATCTTGGAAAGACGGAATTCCAAGATAACGTATCTTGGAAAGACGTCTTTCCAAGATATGTTATCTTGGAAAGACGGAATTCTAAGATAACATCGAGGAGACGAAATTCAAAATTCAAAGATAGCCTGAAAGCTCTAGTAATTATAAGGAAAATTGAGCTACCTGTTACTTACCAATGGATAGGCCTATATTCAATTTGTTCAAGTTCAAAGTTGTGAGTGAATATTGTTGTATTTCATTGTGTGTTGTTCTGTATTTTCACGCATTGTTCTGTATGTACGCATCAACATCTGCTCTTATACACATCTTACGTTAATTGTTAATGTATAAAAATTAATTTCGTTTTTTTTTGTGCCCAAATTTGTTTACAAAAACGTAATGCAATAATAGCATATTGACTACTATTGTATATTTTCGGAAAATATTTCAGCCGCTCCAAATCTCTTTCCTACGGAAGCTTAAAGTGACCTTCCGCGTTTCCGAGTTTCCAAGATAATTATCATGGAAACATGGAATAAACACTTATTAAGACGTCTTTCCGAGATAATTTATCTCGTAAAGACGGATTTCCGTGATAATTTATCTTGGAAAGACGGAATTCCAAGATAATTTATCTTGGAAAGACGGAATTCCAAGATAATGTATCTTGGAAAGACGTCTTTCCAAGATAATTTATCTTGGAATTCCGTCTTTCCAGTATA